CGCGGGGACGTCGGCCGGCGTCTTTGGCGCGGGCGCGGGCCGGGCAAGAAGCAGCTCGGGCGACGGCGCCGGCGCGACCGCCCGCCCGCTGCTCGGCGCGGGTGACGCCGGCGCCTGAGCGCAGCGCAGCGTGCAGCGGAGCGGCGAGCCCGGGGCGGGACCGTCGACGACGGCGGCGAGGGCGACGGAGGAGACGACGCCGTCCCTGCCCTCCTCCTGCACCACGAGCTCCACCGGCCGCGCCCGCGAGCTGAACCGCCGGCCGTCAATCGCGCTGCCAAGCTCATAGAGCGCGCGCCGCGCGGCGGCGCTGCGGAAGAACGCCTCGGGGTCGTCGGAGATGACCTGGCTGACCGACCGACCCTCCCCGATGTCGGAGATCGCGGATAGACACACCTCCGCCGTCAGCGAGGTGCGGAGTTCCACTGCCATTGTCCCGCCAACGAGCCTCCCCCTTTCCCGGGCAGGCAAAAGAATTTTACTACGCGAGCCCCTCTCGAGGTTCTCGAGGTTCTCGAGGTGGATATCCTTTGGCCGCGTTGGGTAGCGAGGATTGGTGTAACCCGAGCCACGGAGGCGTGTTTTCTGACGGCCGACCGTCAGTGCACGGAGTTGCCACTTCTCCGACTGCCCCGGCTAGTTCACGAGTTTCGCGGGAGTGACCCCATGCGTCAAACCCGAGACCTAGCGCGGGTGGGTTGGAGGGGGCTCGCCCCGTTCCTCCCCATCGGGCCGCATAAGCGGCCACGCCTCGCAGATTCGTTTTCGCGCCTGGGTCAGGCGCGCGGGGCATCCCCCGGGTCGCTCGACCAGCGATCCGAAGAGTGGCCGCTATGTGAGGGAAAGAGCGGGGCCCTCGACGCCTCAGTCCGGCCCTCCGAGGGGGGAAGGGAAGTGCGGGGTCCCCACGGGCGCCTCAGTTCGGCCCTCCCGAGGGGGGGAGGGGAGCAAGGGGGTGGGGGGATTGGGGCGGTGGGGAGGGGTCTCGGTTTCATGTGACTAAAACTTGCCTTTCGGGGAGGGGCCTCGGTTCAAGCGCTCATCACAGGAGTGAGAGCTGCCTGACGTCTTCCCCTCCTCCCTCGAGGCAGCGAGTAGGCAGCGAGTGGAGGTCTCGAGCGCCTATATGAAGGTATGTGAGATGGTGATGGTACGTGTATCGTGTTGATGAATGAGCCTCCTTCCTCCTCCCTCGTCGGGCGGCAGAGGCGGCGGCGTGGGTGGGGGCGAGGCCGGGCGGGAAGGGCGGCGACGGCGGCGGCGTGGGCGATCATTAATAATGTGTGTGTGTGCGCGCGTGTGTGTGTGTTTGTTTGCGCGATGGCAGGGAAGGGCAGGGCAGCCGCGAGCAGCAAGTGGCGTCGGCGACGCGGCGAGGACACGATGATGAGGCCCTCAGCGCAGCGTGCGCGGCAGCATCCCCGCCGGCGGCCCCACGCCGCATCAGGGCGGTAAAAAAATTCTTTCCGAGCGCTTTTGCTTCTCCCTTCGCGCGCGCACCCTTTCTGCGATGGCCCCTTCTGCGTTGGCCGATTCGATCGACCTCACCCTGGACGACTCGCCTGCCGAGGAGCGCGCTGCACGCCGCCGCTCCCCCGCCGACGCCGCGCGCTCGCCACGCCGCCGGCCGCGAGCGCGCGGCGGCGGCGGCGGGGGCGGCGCGCCATCTGCGGTTTTCGATCTGACGGTGGACTCGCCGGAGCGCGACGAGTCGACCCCCCCGGCTGGCCCGGCGCCCTCCACATCGACGAGCAGCGCCAGCGCCGACGGCGGGCCGAGCGGTGCCAGCAACAACCGCGGCGGCGGGAGCGGCGGGAGCGGCGGGAGCGGGGGGAGGAGCGGCGGCGAGAGCGGCGGCGCCGGCGGGAGCGGCGGTGCTTCTGGCAGCAGCAGCAGTGGCGGGAGCGGCGGGAGCGGCGGCGGCGGTGGCGGCGAGAGCAGCAGCGGCGGCGGCGGTGGTGGCGGGAGCAGCAGTGGCGGCGGCAGCGTCGGCGGCAGCAGCAGCAGCGGCGGCGGCGGCGGTGGTGGCGGTGGCGGGAGCAGCAGCGGGAGCAGCGGCGGGACGTCCTCGGGCGCTGCGACGGCAGCGCCGACGGTGATCGACCTGATGGTGGAGGAAGTCGGCGACGCGCCTCCCGGCCCTTCGGTGATCGACCTCGACGCAGACGACGCGTCGATCGCGCGCTCGCTCGCCGCGCAGCTGCAGCAGCCGGCCGACGTCGACCTGCAGGCGCTGCAGGCAGCGCGCGAGCGACGGCGGCGCGCGCGGCGCGACCGGGCGAGGAGCGCGGCGGAGGCGATCGTCCTCGAGGCGGACTCGGCATGAGTTGGTGAAATCACTGATTCGCTGCTTGAGCATTCAAAGGCGATCGACCTGGACGCGGAGCCGGACGATCTTCTTTTCGAGCAGGCGAGGAAGGAAGGAGTCGAGTAGGAATGAGCAAGGGAGCGATGACTCGTTAGTTCACACGAGTTCAGCAGTGAGGAGCAGATCTAAGGAGCGATGGCTCATTGCTTCGCATCTCCTCCCCCCCCTTCGCGCAGCGGTCCTCCATCGAGCGGCTGGTGCAGCAGAACGCGCCGCGGCATGTGCCCGGCGCGCCCGCCGCCCGCGGGCGAGCAAGGGCGCCGCCGGAGCAGCTCAGGGGGCGTGGGCCGAGGGTGTGTGAACGGCGTCTCTTCACACCCCGCTGCTGTGAGCAGGCGCCCGTGCACCTCGGCGTCTGGCTCAACCCAAGGTCGCTGTGAACGGCGTCTCTTCACACCCCGCTGCTGTGAGCAGGCGCCCGTGCACCTCGGCGTCTGGCTCAACCCAAGGTCGCTGCCCAACGAGCCCCTCTACGAGCGGTTCGTCGCCGCGTGGCAGCGGGCCCTAGAAGCGGAATATCTCCCCATATCTCCCCATATAGCGGGCCCTAGAAGCGGGAGACGCTGTCCTGCCTCCCAACTAGCCCTCGAGAGGACAACGTATTCCGCTGTATTCAGCCGCATTCCGCTGCATGCACTGTCCTCCTCTCCGTTGTACTCACGCGGTGCTCTGAACACACTGCACAGTCCCGTCTCCCCGCCCTCACGTCTGCGTATTCAGCACGGTAGGCAGCGGGTACCAAACAAGACCATCCGGCTCGTGTTTCACGGGACGCCAGAGGCGAACGTCGGCGCCATCTGCCGCGACGGCCTCGACCCAGGCCGCCGCGCCGGGCAGGCGCACGGCGCGGGCGAGTACTTTGGAGGCAATATGGACGTGTCGATGGGCTACTGCCGCGGAGGCAAGTACATGCTGGTCTTCGCGGTGCTGCTCGACGCGTGCTTCCCACGGCTCCACTCTGAGTGCGTCAGTGAATGAGTCTTGATTACGAGCTAGGTGCTGCTCGACAAGTCGGGCCTGACCAAGGTGGTCCCCTCGCAGCGTTGATGAATGAATGAATGATTCAATGAATGAACGAGCGAACGAACCGCCGGGCCTGGCCTAGGTGGTCCCCTCGCAGCACGGCGTGCCGGGCGAGATCGTCGTCGTCAACAAGCCGGAGCACCAGCTGCCTCTCGCGGTCGTGTCGATCGGCTGCCCCACGTGGTCGCCGCCGCCGGGCTGGCTCTCTTCCTCGCAACGCCTCTACACCTCCGCCGACGCGCGCGCGCACAACCCGCACCACTCCGCCGCCAGTTTGTACGCCAACCTGCCCGCGAGTGTCTCCGCCGCCATCTACAACCGGCTCGTCGCCTCGGGGCT